GTGTGTGTGTGTGTGTGTGCGCCTGGTGTATGTGAACCTTATTACGTGCAGTCTGTAAAAATCTGTTTCTCTTTTCAGAAGTTTTTTTTAAGAGTTTTATAATTTGTGGTTTGATCTTTAAGAAAATGTTAACTTATGAATTGTTGGTTTGGTTGGCTTGGTTCACACGTCTTCACAGAGCTGTCATGGAATTGAGGGAGTTTTGGGGTTCTGGTTTGAATCAGATTCATGAGGTCAGAAGGAAATGCATTATTTCAGCGAGGATCAGTGCATTTGCGTGCATGTACCTTGCAGAGAGAGTGTCCTTCATACATGTGGAAGCGACCCTGCATGCACACGCATGTCTTCCCCTTCAGTTCCCCAAAAACAAGCCGACCTGCATGACCCTGGACTGCAAACACAAACACATACATACAGGAACTTCTGATGTAACTATGCTTCATATATATATTTCATATAGGCAGCTCATGCATTCGTTCCTTGTTCATATTAAAATGGTTTTAACCATTTAACTGCTTGTCTTGGTTAATTTTAGGATTTATTTTCTATAAATCAGCAGGTGAACTTACAAAAAGTTGCTGTTCGACAGTCTGATATTTGTAATCCCACATATCAATTTAATTAAAAAAAGAACCTATAAAACAATATAACATATTCTTAATATGTTATATTAAGAATATGATCAATGGCTATGATAATTCACATTTTAATGACCATGAAACTGACCTCACAGTGCATTCTTAGTCAGTGGTGCTGGTGTGAGTCATTATGCAAATGTAATGTTTATAAGACTGAAGAAGTCACTTGGATGAGTGAGGAGATGTTTCTCCCATAAAAATAAATTAACCTCCTAACATATATATTTCCACATATTTTAGTTAGTTTGTTTTGTTCAATATGTGCAAATAGTAACTTCAAACTGCCTTGAATCCCATGTTAACATGATTAATATTTAGAAGATATGGGAACCAGTTCTTTTAAACAGAATAATGTAGCATATTTATCAGTCATTAACCTGAATATTCAGTGTACCTGTGCTCTGAGGGAAGCCTGGGATGTCAGAATAAGCAAAGGAGTCTTGACACTTCAGTGTGTCAGCGAGCATGCCCAGTCCGGATCCACAGATGATTGCTACCTGGGGTCGGTGCTTTGTTTGGGACATCAGCCAGTCAGCTGTCTTCTGGTATTCGTCATGACTACGGACACAAAAAAGAAAGAATAAATATTATTTTGCAACATCATCATGATTCACCTCATCTTGCTGTTGCTATTGCTGTTTCCTCTCCGCTGAGATCTGTGTAGGCTCAATACATTTTGGATCAGGTCCATAACATAAAGCTTACTTTGGACTAAGTCTGGCCTTTTATGTTCATGTTTTGCAAGACCACTGCCTCACTGTATAAAGTATTTAACAAATTACTTCAACGTTGAAGGGAAATAAAATATGGGTCACTAATAATAATGAAATTGGAGGGAATTATTTTCCAAGTTCACTAAAAGACCTAAAATGAGTTTGAGTTCAGTTTGTGGCTGCCTGTCCTGCACCTTTACTGTTTCTGTTTACCCTTGCTGCCCGGCAGCATTTTGAGTTGGAGCAGGAAGCTGTTTTTTTTTAAACTCACTTCTCACCACTTTCTCAGTCCCCAACAACAGATGGAGTCAACTTGTGTAAAAACAGTTCGCACAGCAGATAAAAAGGCAGCTACGTCTCTCAGGGAAATATGCAGGCCACAAACAGAGACTGTTTGTATTTCTCAGATGGAGAAAAACACGACTCCAAGTGACTGACATTAAGCAACTGTTTGCCAACAATTTCACAATATTTCTTGAGAGCTTAAAAAGAAGACAACCTGACGTCTTTAGGTTTTTGAAGATATTTTGCCTCTCAACGAAGCGGCTTCTATCATTACCTGGAAGACTTAGAACCTACACAGACTTCACAATATGTCAATTTTCAGTTCACAACATGTTTTTACAAGTTTTAATCAAAATAAAGAAAACAAATGAACAAAAACAAAATCACTTTTGGGCCTTTTCTCATATAGATATAAACAACAGAGGATGCTCCTAGCAAAAGTTTGAAATAATGAAGTCAGCATATATGAGTAAATATTTTATTTATCTCAAAATTGGAAACATTTATTTGTTACAGCAGCCAAAGGATGAGAAAGAAAATGGATTGAAAAGATTATAAAAATGACCAAAAGAAAGAATTCAGTTATGAATGAAGAGCTCAATAAATCACATAAAATAAAATGAAGAACTTGAACACTATTGTGGTATGAGCTGGTAAAGATTTTCCATCTTTGTGAATGATGTTAGACAAAGTGTTAGGTGGTCAACTTCCATTAATTATCCATAGCCATTCTCCAAAGCTACAGTATTTTGAAAGACCTCTGTGTCAGATGAAGGAGGAATTTAAAACACCAGCAGCAGTTCAATTAAATTCGCTTGAGAAAAAAAGTACGATTTAAAAAACTCACCAAGGAAAGCAAATGAAAATTAAGCTACATCTTTGCTGTCTTTTAATCTTTATTTCTTAATGTACACTTTACCTGTTAAATAAGTCAGTAAAGGACCTTAAAAATATATTTAAAATAACTTATTATTTCTCCATAGACTTGATCCTTTCAACTCTTCTTCTCTCTTCAATTTTAAGGCTGTAGTAGTTGTGTGTGTGTGTGTGTGTATTTTTTTTATTTTAAATAAATGACTCAATATTCACTAAACTAAATGACTATGAATTGTGGACCATTATATAACATGTTACCAGGTCTACCAAGTTGTAGCTCATGAGCCTAATAAGATGCTGAAAGCTGATTAACAGCTAAGCAGGCTGAAAAATATAATAATTTTTCTCTTTGATTTTCTTCACATAAATCAGTGAAAATGTAAATTTACATTTCAGGCCTCAGAAAACGAAATCACAAACATACAATAACACAACACTGTCCTCACACAAAAAGTTTAGAAACCACGACTTAGTTACCTAATGGCACTGTATCAAGAAAAACACAATATTATTACCTATAATACACAACAAAAAAAGTTTCTTACCTGATGTGCTCTTTGCTGTGCATGATGGAGCAGCCTCCGTTACTGTTAGTTTGTGTGTTTGTGTGTGTATGTGTGTGTGCGTGTGTGTGTGGGACGAAGAGACGGTGCGAGTGCAGCCGGTTGATGTCGACCAGCCTACATATTCACATAGTCACATGCTCCTGATTGGCAGTAGCAGCCAATTGCAGCCGTGTTGTAGTAGTGAATGTGTGTGTGGATACGTAAAGTTTTTTTTGTTTGTTATGTAAGCAGAGCCCCCCCCCCCCCCTTTTGAAGTCAGCTGTTTCACATTAGAGTTACTGTAATTCCTGATGTTCCATACTTACACAGTCGTGACTGTTGTGACTCCTTTAAACATACTCGTGCTTTAAGATGTTTGCACAGTATGAAGACAAATGGCTAATAAATTATGTATGCAAACAATAATAGTATCTATAGCACTGGTTTTATAAAGTGCTGCTAAGAGGCTGCACATTCATTCCAGCTGCTTTCCCCTCAAGACAACAACCCTGTCATAACTATAACATAGAGTTGTGTTTTAAACTGCAGTCCTGTGCAAAATGATTGAGTCACCCCTATATCTTCATAATTTGATTCCTAAGAGCCAGAATTATTGTAAATTTCTAAATTGGTCTTAAATGTTGGTTCTTCAGCCTTTCTAAAGGTGTTTCAAGTTTTTTGTTTGGCGACTGGCGGCTTTTGGTTCATTTTTACTCCGTTTTTAGTTTTGTTTGCCTATTTTCAGATGGATGTTTTATTTTTCATTCAAAAAGAACTCAAGGGATACACATAACAGAAAATTTAGCAAATAACCTATTTTAAATGGTTCTTTAGGCACTTTGTTACTAGCAGCTTGTCACAAAAACACATCATTTGTTCCCATTTCTGTAGTAGAATCTATTAAAGAAAAAAAAGCCAAAGATAGCAAAGATAAATAGTTTTGCACCAACAATGTGGTTATTAAAAACTTTCAAGCGTGTTAAAACTGCCCATTACTTTGTTTTTGCCTTACCTCCCTGCATTCATTGGCCATGTCTAAAAAATCATCTTCAAGAAATTGCTCTAAAGCTGTATCCTAGAAAGTTGAGCTTTCTAACAAGTGTTTGATGATATAAAAGGGTTTGGGTTCTTTAAACCCAAACATGAAAGAATCATATGTTCTAACGTTAGGTCAAATTTGCCAAAATAACTTCACCTATCTCCTCAGATACTCTGTCCAAGCTGCAAACTCTGGGACTAAAGAAAACTAACCCAACGGTGTAGCCACAAACTGCAGTTCCTCTAATAGCCAGTAGACTCCCGTGCTAAAAAAAAAAATCGAACTTCAGCTATGAAATTCACATTTTTACAGTCTTGTAGAAAAAAACATATCAAGCATCCATAAATTTGAAAGCCTTTAAGAAGGACTGTAAATATTTTTTGGCTGCTATAATAGACAAGCAAGCTGACATAGTCTCTTGGTTCCCTTTCGGAGCATTTTTAATGGAATTATCAGGCTAATAAAATGGCTTTCTGTGTGGTACAGCCTGTTCAAGAAGCTGGCACCGAGCCTGGAATTATCTACTTTGAGATTTTCTTTCATAGCACATAACATGCAGCTGGATTTTAGGTAATTTTCTATAGGCTGGATTAGCAAGATGATATTTTTTTTTATCAATAGAAAAATGTATACTCTTCTTATTTAAGTCTTCCAGCATTAAAATCATGAACATAATGAATTAAATACCGAAAGATGGTATTCATCTGATTCACTGAAAATTGCTTACCTTGTATATCCCAGCAATGTTTTTTAGCATTTAGGCTGTTAACCCAGTACACGAGCACTTCAGTGTTTCCCCATCCAAAATCTTTCGTTTGTGCTGCTATCTCAAGAGTAAAATCCACCTTTCATAGCGACAGGATCAACAGGAAGCTAATTAAGCTACATAGTCCATAGACAGGTTAGTTACCACGGGTCAGAGAGCAATAATTCTCTTATCTGTTTAATTAAAGGAGGTATTCCCATTACATTTGGGATGTGGTGTCTCTAAAAAACTCCTGAAATATAGTTACTATAGACAATATTAGGAAAACTCGTCCATCTCATGCTAATGGCAGAAATCATCAGATCTCCAGGCATTGTCAAACCTGTGCTTCTCCTGAAAGATTTGATTTCATCATTTGGATATTGTGAGGAACACATCATTGTTTTAGAAAACAGTTGTAGACAAGCTGTGACCTAATAATTTAAAATGTCAGCATAAATGTGAGGTTCCCTTTCTATGGTAATTGGATGAATTTTAACTGCATTTGTATGTATATAGAGATATATTTGAGTTTTTCTTAGATCTTGTTTGATTTTTGTAAATCCCCTTTTGCAAACAGGGTTTCTTTATCAATTATATGTGGATAAGGGTTTTTTTTCCTGACTTTGGTATGTAGTTTTTTAAACGTCTTACTGATCCCCCTCCCAATGTCTCTAAAAAAAAGTCCTGGCCTGATGTGAAGCTCTTGCATATCATCTCGGCCTTCCAAGGTGCAAAAGTTGGTCGAGTAGTACTGCTCAGCCTCGTTCTTTGACTTTACCTGGCATCAGCGTGCTTCAGTGTTTCAGCTTTGTTAGTTTATGTTTACATAATTATCTTGTACTTAAGTGAACCTCTTGCATGGACTCGCTCCTTGTTACATAGCTGGAGGCAGTTGGTGGCACACCACCTCTTAGCTTAATGTGTTTGAGTGTGTCTGTACGTTCTATTTTTTAATGACTGTCTCCGTCAATGAGTGTGAGGATCATTAATGTTAAAGAGACAAATGTTTTATAGAGAGATAATTTTATATAATATTTTCAAACTATCAGTATTATTGAATTCATACCTGAACAAGGCTTTACATATGTATTAATAAAAAAAAGTGTAGAATGCACAAGTGTACACTATAACATAAGAAATAACCATACTTAAATTAACAGGTCATTGGCTAATGAGCTTCCAACATCTTGTGTATAAATTAACATGTAACAGATTTTTTTGTTATATGCTTTCACATTGCAGCACGATTAGAAACATGTTTAAACTGTTTAAGTTAAATCTTGCCCACCTGAAGTCCATCAAGTCAAGACTCAAGAGATGTGGGAGTTTAACGAGCAGCAGCTCGTCAGTCACTTCCCTTTTAATTGAAGCTCCACGTCCAGTCTCATGACTGCTAACATACCTCACATGCTCCCTCGCTGCTGCCCTGATCAGCTAATGCTAATGAGGCTCATGTGGGTTTGATGAAGGGGTACCAGAGCTGGACTGCAACCGGAGGAACCAAGCCTGCAGTCAGATCTGATACCACCTATTAACTGCTTTGTTAAAGAAAAACGCTTATGGCAGCTGATTTATGTGTGCACTACAATTCATAAACATGCCTCTGATGATTGGATTATTGAATAAAATTATTCCCATCTGTTTTCTTCTGCTTTACCACTTCAGGGTCACAGAAACTGAAGCCTATAATCATTAATACATAAAAACATATTTTGTATATATATATTGTATTTACTCCCTGCAATCCTAGCTTGAAATGTGTGCATTGTCATTATCCTGCCCTGGATACTGAGAAAAAAACAATCTTTCTAAATCCACTATGAATTAATTAATACAAGACAGTTTTTGTTATCATTGTTGTTTTATTAAGAGTAGGTCAAAATAAAATCATGCATTGTTTAAATGCTGCCGTTAGCTCTGGGGCAAACCACAGCCTGTTACTATTTCTGCACGGAGTAAGTGGGTCGCATTCATGAATGACCTTCAAATATGTTGCCTTTTAGCAAAAGCCTGAGGCACATGTGTATCTGTAAGGTCTTTATTACGGTGGTGGGTAATTCACAATCACATACAAGTAAAATTCTGGATTTAGGTAAGAAATCAAGTTCAACACAACAAATGAATGCTTTTGTTTCTGTTAAGGTCTCCAGAAATAAAGGCATTCGTTTTAGCATCCTGTGACTTTAAATGCAACTTTCACATTGAATTCACTCCTGTGTTTTTGTTTTCCTACGCTGCTCTCTGTTCTGACTCTGCTGCATCTGTACGTTTAATGCTCAGCTGAACGTTCAGCATTACTGCATTCCTTCACAACCGGCAAAATGTGAAAAATGTGACAGCGTCCATTTAAATGTCAGATATCTGGGATTCTTCTACGTACAAGCAGCCGAACCTGCTCATTTCATTCCTGCTGCTTCAGCCCTGAGGCCTGGAAATGTCTAAAAGGTTAATTGTGTTCATGTGCACAGACGAGACAAAAACGTGACAATTGTGAAACCACACACAGGAAATAAATTCCTTTTTCGTGACCGGACTGGATGAGAACAGGACACAATGTCTCTAAGCACTAACAACCTCTAATGTCTTTAGATTTCTAAGCTGGCACTAAGGGCCATCTCAACATCTCATGTAAGATCAAAATGCATCAGCTCAAAACTGACTTTTCACACACGCTGAAGCAGAGTAGAGGCTTCCCACAGTACATGCAGTAAAACAGGAAGTCTGAACAAGTCACAATTTTAGTAACACTTAAGCAGTGTTGGGAAGGTTACTTTTAAAATGTATTCCATTACAGA